TTTCGGAATGTAGTTGGTCAGTGGAGCCACAAGGACAACTGTAAGTATAATTAGTTTTGTTTCTTCTGTTGATTGAGTGTAGAAAAGGTTGTTGTGGAGTATTATAGTTGAAGTAATTATTTAAATAAAATATATTAATAGTTAATTTTGTTTGAGGTTAGGACATTGGCTTTAATTAGTGCATCAAGGTTATCTGAATCTGAATAATTCGAGTAGCTTATTCATTTGTCTATAAAAAAATCTCTTGAAATTGTTCAGAAAGTTCTGAAATTATTCGATTTTTTGTTTAGTAAATTGATACTATTTCAAACATTTAAAGAATTTTTATTAGATGAATGCGTTTTTTATATATTTTTTGTACAATAATTTTTAATCAAAAATTTTCTATTTTTTTATCTTGTACAATTGTCATTATGAAAATAGTACAAACATAAACCTTGTTCGGAAAATCGACTCCATTCTAACCAGTGTTGGGCACTAGACTATGTCTAATTATAAAAATATTGGACAAATTAGACCAAAAAAGTGGAATATGTCCAATTTGGTTCCAATTTACTACAACAATTCCAATTGGCACTTGGGCACTGGAACGGTCCAGCCTATATCTGGAAGTAGTAACAATTGGAACAGTCCAATAAATTGAAACAATTCAATAAACTAGTTCGATTCCGAATCAAAATTATACATTAGTACAGTTTCATTATATAAATTTATAAATTATACATAAAATTATTTAATACTTTTCGTTAAATACAATCGCCCAATCTAATTTAATTGTAAATCTATGCTTTTCAGAAATTTTAAAGAATTAGAATTAGAAACAGACGAAAATGCTTAAAAGATTTTTATAAATGAGATACATTATTTAAATACCTATAGATAATGTTTATTATATATCGACTTTCTAAGACATCATAGTATTTTTCATTATTAATGATATAGACATTTCTCAGAGTAGTGACTACTTACGGCATTACAGCCATGACGTAGGGTCATACTACTACCTAAAGTTATATTGCTGTGAGATAGTTGTCATAAGTGATGTAGTATGCCGTATAGCATTGCTACTGAAAAATTTCGCTAGCTAATCAAATTTCAGTAAACACAAAAAATCAATAGAGATGGTTCATACATTTTACACAATTATAATCAATTTTCGTATATCATCCAATCAAGTTGCTGAATATACATAACCAAATCCTCTTTTGCCGATTTCTTTAACATTAGATACCTTATAAGCACGAAATAACACATTATTTCGAATGCACCTGCGTGTGTTGCGACATTTGAATCTGTGCCTAGTTTGTCGATTATGCACGTTTGTGTAACATCTACGTTAAAGATCCTATTAAATAAAATTCAGATAATTTCTCAATAACAGTAAAATTTTTTTATTTTAATTTCATAATGTTATAGAATTAAAATAAAAAAAGTTCATTAAATTTTGGTTTAGTAAGATTCAAAAAGTTAAAAAAACCCCCAAAAATCTTCGAAAAAAACAAATTGAAAATTTTCTTTATTTGAACTTTAAACAATGATTTCTCGAACTAACATATCCAAATTTAATGTATTTTTTTTTATTTTAATTCTAGAAGTTAATAGAATCATAATAAAAGAAAATTATCAAATTTTACTAGTTGTTTGTCGAGAAATATTCATTAAAAGCCAAAAAAAAATTGACTACAGTTTTTATTTATAGGCATCTAAACTTTGAACGAAGATTACTTGGCACTTACTTAGACAAATTCGATTAAGTTTTTTTTTATTTTAATTCTATATGCTCATAGAATTAAAATAAAACAATTTGATCGAATGTGACTAAATAAGTGCTGAGTAATCTTCGTTCAAAGTTTAGGTTTCTATAAATATAAAACTGCAGTTAATTTTTTTTTGGCTTTTAATGAATATTTCTCAACAACCAGCTATTAAAATTTGACCAATTTTTTTTTATTTTAATTCTATGATCTCACAGAATTAAAATAAAAAATTTATCAAATTTGGATAAGTTAATGTCAAAAAATCGTCGTTTAAAGTTCAAATAAAGAAAATTTTAACCGATTTTGTTTTTTTCGAAGATTTTTGAAGGTTTTTTTTTAACTTTTTGCGATGATTTCTCGAAACCTACTAAACCAAATTTAATGAACTTTTTATATTTTAATTATATAACATTATAAAACTAAAATAAAAAAAA